CATAATATAAATAAAATGATACACATTATTATAATTACATCAGACCAAATTACGTTCATTCAAAGCTGGTCGATTTTATGAAAATCGATAGTCTGATTTGATTAAACTGATGATTCACTGTTTCTTTTGACTTAAAAAAAGTACTTTGCTAGTTATTCAATCACCAAATTATTATATTAATTTTATAATTCTAATAATAAGTACAAAAAAAACATGTGAATAAGTATTCAATACAATAATTTTCTATGTCAGTATTCATGTTTAAATTGAAATAAAGTTGATGCTACATTAATAATATTATTTTTATGTACATACATACAAGATGCAAAGCAATAATGGGAACGTGTTTAATTTTGCTTGATGTACATCAAATTTGATATCATGGATGACATTATGTGAGTTGATGACTTTTTGTACATTAATTTTAACAATATTTTACCAATCAATGATCAAATTTTCTATACATAGAGACGATATCATCCAAAATGTCAACCATAAATGTACAAGTAACTTAATTGTCATGTGCGTTCATTTTTGTATCGCATTGCCTTTACTTTTCAGAAAGGGCAGGTCTGGGACAGAAAGACTTAACGGTGCCTGAAGTGAGTATGTATCCAATACATACAGTTATGTACATTATCAACTTTTTAACAGTTTAACCACCTCTCTCATTAGTCACCACTGCCAGATTTGTTAATCTCGTGTGGGGTAAATGATGGGCTAACAATTTCGAATAAATAGCATTTACTCCGTCGTACATACCAGAATCTCCGCTACAGTATCAGTATCACAAGACCTCAGAGATGTATATAATTAATGCAAGCTGATGCATCAATGATAATAAGAATACGGAATTCTTCTACAAAAGCAACCGTAAGGCTATGTTTGTTTGATAGCCATTTATTTTTCCATTTTCCAACTTTCGATTGTTTGATATCCAAAATTTTCCTTAGAATTCATTTTCCAACTTTCTTGCTACATAAGCCAATTTCCAGCTTTTCCTTGAATTGGAGATTCCAATCCCGATTACAGTAGCGAATTTATCTATTTATTTTTTTTTTGGACAATAGAAACAAATTATAAGAATTATTGAAAAAAAATATTTTTCTTTAATTGACAATTTTCATGTAAAACGAAGTCAAACGAACACCAAAAGATAGATGATTTTCTTGATTTTTTTTATTTTTTTATTTTTTGCAATGGAAATAAATTTCATCCCCAATATCAATAAATTATATCCCTTTAATTGACAATTTTCATTTAAAAAAGTCAAACGAACACCAAAAAATACTTTTATTTCAACATTTTTCACGTGAAAAATTATACCAATCAAACTCAATAATTTACAATTTTCAGGAAAATAATTTCTAGACAATTCAATTCCCTAAAATTCGTTTTCTTTCCATCCAAATTTCATCTTTACAATCAAATGGACCTTAATTTCTTTCCCAGAAATAGAGACTTAAAAAGAACAAGAAGAGGCGATAAAAATCATAATATTATTCAATTTTCACTATACATATTATTATGATCAGACTACGGGTTGAAAATGAGGCTTCCACATTTGCATTTCCAGCTCATGGGCTTGTAGTTGGAATTATCATCTGATCTAGCAAAGCGAATGGTTGAATTCTTGATTCCGTTTCTTTTTTGAGGGTTTGTGGGCACCTGAATGGCTTCACATTGCGCACAAGAACTGCACCTCCTCTCGCACCGTGGCGGCCTCGAACCGATTTGTGCTGCCTTCTCTTCGCTTATTGTCTACCCAATCAAACAATATTCAAGATTTCATTTTTATTAAGTTCAAAAAAAAAAAAACACACACACACACACACACACAAATTGATGTAAAAAGCATTATCCCGACGTCCAAATCTTACCTGGGAATTGTCGATCCTCTGTACTAACTTTCTACCTGCCAGCATGAAAAAGAGACAAACGTTATCTTTTAATCATTTAGTGAAGAAATGTTTTGTCTTTAATTTAATTTACCTTCTGCGCCACAGAATATTCTTAGCTGTGATGTGCTAGAAATTAGGAGAAAGAGAACACAAATGGCAAAAAGGTGAAGTCTATAGCCACACACAAGATCGTGACTGCAACCCATTTCTGAGAAAGATAGGCTTCTCTTGTGAAGTCAAGAAATCGAGAGAAACTAATAAGAGAGGTTATAGCGGAAAATACTTAATTATACATAAGCTAGAAAGCTGTGTGATGACTGGGATGTGAATTATAAGTAGATGTGCAGAGCAAAAGAGAACAAGTAATTGACAAAATAATCATACTAACAAAATTGTCATATCAATATGTATGAATGTGTGTTTTATCATACTTTTAGAGGGGGATTGAGATGACTGAACATGACGGACAAAAGAGTGTTTCAGAAGGTTAAAAGGCAAGAAGGGAAGAGAGCTCCAAAAAGGGAAGAAAAGTGACAATAAGAGAAAACCCACAAGGAAATGAGAAATAGACAGCAAGAAGCCATTAAAATGGACCAAACAGATATATGAATACAGCTGGTCTAGTTTTCGGGTTACCATTTTTCCTTTTATATTTATTTCGTTACACAATCCCAACACATTTCTGTGTAGTTTCTTTCTTCTCATTTCATCTTTCATAGCCTATGTTTGGTCCTTATTTTTTCAAAAATTTATTTTTCGAAAATTTATTTTCAATCATACATTCTTCATAAAATAATTTTACAGGTAAATCAAAAACTTTTTTTTTTTAACCACACATTCACCAAAAAAAAAAAAAAAATCATTATTTCAAAATACATTTCTTACAGGGGCTCAAATTGGGCCTTAATTTTCCTTTGGGATTTTCAAGATATGGCTCCATTTACACTGAGGTTTAATTAGTGCAAGCTTTTGTTCATGTTTAGCTACAGCTTAATATATTATATTAAGTAATGCTATTCACCTAGAGTGTAATGATCATGGTAATGGAGTTACATTATCTTATAAAGTTGAAATACATTTTTATTCACCTGAAAAATCTGATTCTGATCCCACTATCACATAAATAGTTAATGAATAATATTATTTAAAAAAAAATAATTGTAAGTAATTTATAGTTTAGTAATTAAGTGTCATAAGGGATTGCCTCCACTTTTCAAATTGATCAATGCCTACATGAAATTCGTCGTTTCATAATTTAGGTCATCGATAACCTACAAGCTCGAGAATTTCTAAATAGGAAAATACAACACAAAATTAGTAGATTATTGATGCAAAAAATACTGGCAATTACTCATTATTAAGATCGAAATAAGAGTGAAATTCACACTTTTAGAGTAATGCTGAATATATCCAGGCAAGTCTGCCCAAGAGATCACCTTTTCCAGTTTTGGGCCTAACATATATTGGCTAGACTATCGTACACAAATTGACGCAAATGGCACTAAAACAGAACATTACTTCAGCAATCTTTCTAATACTTACACTTCTGCCCTACTTTCCGGTTAGCAAATATTACCCTTGACTTCGTCTATTATTCTAGAATGAACCGCAGGTAACCAAAATTACAAAATTTCAATTATTTTTAAGCCACTATTGAGGATCCAGTCACTCGGCTCATACCCATATCCAGGGACAAATTCAAGATGTTGAGCCAGCACGGCGGCCGTAATAAAATATTAAGGGCTCGTTTGATGTCATTTTTTACAAAAAAAAATGCATTTTGGAATAGTGATTTGATGGAGAATATGTAGTTAAAAGTAATAAAAAAAACTTTGAATTTGCATGTAATATTATTTTATTAAATAATGTTTGATCGAACATAAGGAAAAGAAAAATGTATTCTGAACTAAATGGGAATCAAACAAGGCTTAAAATTTAAACAAAATGATTATTTTGTTGAAGTTGAACATATATAATTTTGTTATAAGAATAAATAGTACTCACCAAATAATATTATTACTTTGTATAATTCAAAGGAAGAGCATGGTGTAAGAATTTTTACAATTGCATTAAAACTACTAAAATCTTACATATATTAAGTGGCTGTTTGATAGCGATTTTGACAAAAATTTTAAGTAATTTTATAGCCATTGCCACTAATCTTGGGCCCCATTGCGCCTAACATTATTGACTTCCCAATAACCAAATAACTAATGTTACCCTTATGCCGAGAAAAATGATTTCAAATTTGCAAGGGCACATAGGTAAATTTGCTTGGACTAGTCCAAAATTGCGGCTCTACTACAACTTACGCCCACTGTATAACGGTACAAATTCAGCTTATAATCTGCCATTAATCGCTCCCAGACAGTCCCTAATTTGTACTCAACAAGTGTCATAATAGTCAAGCTTTCATTATATCTTAGAATAGCTCACAGGTTCAATTCCCCACTCGCCCTTTCCTTATTTCAATGGTTTTTGGTAAAAATTGTATAACTAAAATGTTATACAATAAATTGGTAGACAAAAGTTTCGAATCCGGGACATTTAAGAAACACATGCAAGCACTAACCAACTTGATTAGAAGAAATTGTTGAAAGAAAAATGAATTACCAGTAATCTATCCTATATGTTTGTCTATTCTCAGTAAAAAAAAAAAAAAAAAAAAAAAAAAGACTTCCGGCAGATCCAGCACGCACGGCTGCGGGAGCTCACCAAGTGTTGAATCCACCAATGCCCATATCAACAAATCATTTTTACATTTTATAATTTTACATAAATTTTAATATCTTTTATTCAGAAATGAAACCTTTACAACATCTATATTTTTTCCATGGCAAAGGAGCATCGTGTGTACTCATCTGATATAAGATGATTAGAGTGTGACAATGTCGACAATTGTGTGTTGAAATAATGATAAAATTGGCATATGATGGATTTTCATTTCAGACCCCTACACGAGTCAGAGTCAGAGTCATCAGTGGTCCAAAACACTTAGATGGGTGGGATTTTCATTTCAGACCCCTACACGAGTCAGAGTCAGAGTCATCAGTGGTCCAAAACACTTAGATGGGTGGGGGGTCGGATTCAAGTCTAATTAAAGTCCATCTTCTACGCATAGCATAGCTGATGTTGACATTCTACCTTTCAGATTGTCCCAACCAAATTAAACATGTAAGACATTTTTATTTTAATTAAGTTCTTAATACTATCGATTGAAAGTGTTAAAAAGAAGTGATATCAAAATCAGATACCGTTCTTACCTTTCTGACAATATCATAGATATTTATGTTTCAAAAATATCACTAACCTCTCATATTTCTAAATTTAAGTATCACATACGATATCTGGTCACTTTTTGAGCTATTTATCATTTAAAATGAGATTGATGTGTCTAAACTGTCCTTGCAAAGAAAAAATAATTATTTCTACAATTAGTTACAATTTATTATTATTTTTTTTTTAACAACCTTTTAACAAGAATAAAAAATAAACGCAGACCCTCTCTTGAAGTGCTTGTTAAAGATGAAACATTGAAAATTGAAATTTTTGACTTTTAGATTATGTAGTTGCCAAAGGCTGAAGGCTCTCGAATTTTGATGCTAAATTTTTTGGTTCAACATACTAAATATACTCCCAAAGTTGTCCGTATCCAACATTATGTCATCTTCTAGTATATAGCGTTATAATTATTGTACACTTTCCAATAGACTAGACTAAAATGAAGAACAAAATTGACCACCGGCCATTGACGTTTAAAGCTTGGCTGCAGTATTTCAAAATGCGTTTGGTGCTTCTAAGTCCTCAATACCTCTTTGAGATGGTATATTAAAATAAAATGAGAGCTAGAGGCTTAGGGACTAATACCACTACTTTTCTTTATAAACCTTTTTCACATCAAAGAGGTTGTCTGAAGGTGTGTGATCGACTATCACCAAAGTTGGAAGTTAAACAGTTTAGAACATCCCGTAAATAAGGTAAATGTTGGACCATTTCAAACTTTTCAAAAATCACAAAAATATGTCAAAAAGAATTACGATTACTTCTTCTAAACACTTTCTATAAAACCAGTATCCAATTATGAGTTGAGATATGCTGTCCAATTTTGTTATCCTTCCAGTTAATTCTTGACGCATTATTAACAAGGGCGAATCCAAGATGTTGAGCCAGCACGGGCGCCCGTAATAAAATATTAAGGGCTCGTTGGATGTCATTTTTTGCAAAAAAAAAAAAAAAGCATTTTGGAATAGTGATTTGATAGAGAATGTGTAGTTAACAATAATAAAAAAAATTGAATTTGCGTGTAATATTATTTTATTAAATAATATTTGATCGAAAATAAGGAAAAAAATGTATTCTGAACTAAATGAGAATCAAACAAGGCTTAAAATTTAAATAAAATAATTATTTTGTTAAAGTTGAACATATACAATTTTGTTATAAGAATAAATAGTACTCACCAAATAACATTATTGCATTGTATAATTCAAAGGAAGAGCATGGTATAAGAATTTTTACAATTGCATTAAAACTACTAAAATCTTACATACATAACTTTGTACTCAACAAGTGTCATAATGGTCATGATTTCATTATATTTTAGAATAGCTCACAGGTTCAATTCCCCATTGGTATTTCAATGGTTTTTGATAAAAATTGTAAAACTAAAAATTTATACAATAAATTGGTTGACCAAAATTTCGAATTCGGGACATCCAAGAAACACATGCAAGCGTTAACCAACTTGGCTATAAGGAATGGTTGAAAAAAAAAATGAATTACCAGTAATATATACTATATGTTTGTCTATTCTCAGCCCAAAAAAAAAAAACTCCCAGCGGATCCAACACGCACGGCTGCGGGGGCTCGCTAGGTGTTGGATCCGCCAGTGATCATTAATGTGATGGGTTAGTGGTGAAGTTAACCACGATAAATTTGAGATAATATGTTAATTATTTATGTCATGTTAAGAATTAATTGAATGGACAGCAAATCTCAATTCCCCGAATATATGTATAAATTTAACTGGTGGTCGTATAACCACGTCTCATCTTTAGGTGCCATTTGAAGTTCCATTCAACATCACACCAGATTTGTGGTATTGCGGTGTCCCCGCAAAGCCAACCCGAACCCAGAGGTAGTGTTAGGCCACATTGGAGCCTCTACCTATATTCTACTGACTGTCGATATGTCTATTGTGAGAAATGAGAACAGTGATTGGACTGGATTGCAATTACACCATAGAACTTTGCGGGCCGCCAGACACAAAGCCTTTCAAATCTCAACAAGTTCTTATCTGCTTTCGTTTCACGAATTTCATAGCAGCAGCATGGATTGCATCGAAGTATTGTGTGTTAGGTCGATTGTACATTTCAGTAGCTCAACATTGAAGACAAAATTCCTGTTTGGTTTAGCTGAAAATTTATATTTTTAGTAAATTTTGATAAAAGTTGGTGAAGTATGTAATTGAAAAGTTGATAAAAATTGTTGATTCAATCAAATACGTGGTTAAAAATGAGTGCCAAAATGAAGTGATTCTATCGTCCACCAATTTCAACAAAGAAATGCAACAAAGAGTGATTACGAGTTAAATAGTAAGTACTAAATACAAAGCATAAACAAGTAGTAACATAGAGCACAGAAAGACACGTTACATGGCGGGAAGGTAACAAGGGCTAAAAAAGAAAGGATAATAACCTATTAATATAAATAGAATTGAACCGTCGACAGAGAAATAGCGGGTCCAGTGAGAGTGACGGGTCAATATTAGCTGTACGTAAGCCAATCCTGTGTAGCACTTTTCATTTGCATGCAGTTCTCTTCCTCTCTTTAAATTCTACAATCGCGTGCGTGTGTTTGTATGTTAAGCCCACATTTTCTCTTTTCAACTACAGGAAAATGGCCACAGTTTTATGTGTTATCTTATATGTTTTGGCACTTTCGTGTTCTGTTATTGCACGGCCGGCCACTTTTTTGCAGTATTTTCGAGTCGCCTGGTCGGATTCCCACATTAGGCAGATGGAGGAAGGAAAAGCCATTCAGCTTCTTCTTGATCAAACCTCGGGTAACATTTGCACAATGTTCATAAATAGAAGTACATTATTGAACCGTCTTATCTAAGTAGAAGTTAAAACCATCACAAATTTACTTGCTTAAAATTAGTCACTTCTATCCCATTAAAATAAAATGACAGTATCGAATTTTAGGATGTGGGTTTGCTTCCAAGTATAAGTATCTATTTGGACGTGTTAGCATGAAGATCAAGCTCATTCAAGGTGACTCTGCAGGAACAGTCACCGCTTTTTATGTATGTTTGTTCTTTGATTTTCTCATTTTTCACAATGTCTTCTCGTTTTTCTTGAGCAAGTCTGTTTACTTGCATGATTTGGATTGATAGATGAATTCAGACACTGACACAATACGAGACGAACTAGATTTCGAATTCTTGGGCAATCGGACGGGACAGCCATACACAGTACAGACTAATGTATATGCTCACGGGAAAGGTGATAGAGAACAAAGGATTAACCTTTGGTTTGATCCTTCTTTAGAATTCCACACTTATTCCATAATGTGGAACCATCGTCACGTTGTGTAAGTCGATAATTTTGATCCTTCTCCTGTGTTCGGATGATCTCTCGTTTTAACTAAATCTAATTTTTGTGAATCTGCAGTTTCTATGTAGATGAAGTGCCCATCAGGGTTTACAAGAACAATGAAGCCAAAGGAATTCCATACCCAAAGTTCCAACCCATGGGAGTATATTCCACTCTATGGGAAGCTGATGACTGGGCGACCAGGGGAGGACTCGAGAAAATAGACTGGAGCAAAGCCCCATTCTATGCCTACTACAAGGATTTTGACATAGAGGGATGCCCAGTGCCAGGTCCCACCAACTGTGCTTCAAACACCAAAAACTGGTGGGAGGGTGCAGCATATCAAGATTTGAGCCCAGCCGAAGCCAGACGATACCGTTGGGTGCGTTCGAACCACATGATCTACGATTATTGCGCTGACAAATCTCGGTATCCAGTTACCCCACCGGAATGCATGGCAGGAATTTAAACCACTCCTTTTCAAACAACTACCCAGGAAACGCTTTAAACCTATACGTACAGATTGATTCCTGGATAATTATATAAAGTCAAGCCATCCGGAAGGAGTGTGGAGGGAATTAATTGTTTATGTTTGTATCGAAAGCGTGCTGTCTAAAGAGTGGGAAAAAATCAGTCATTTTCTGTTGGTATCCGTATTTGCTGCACACTGTTTGAGCCAATAATGTATTCTCTGCACGGTTGTGAGAACAATGTTACATAAAGTTTCAGTGGAAGA